GAGGCGTTTACCCACCCGCCCGAGCTAATAAACCGATTTTCAAGAGTTTGACGATCTCCAAGGGCGGTGGGGTAGAGCTCGAACGCGCGCGCGCCTGCGCTCACCCCTCGAAACCCCGTGTAAATTATCCGGGAACCGTAATCGTGCCGCGTTTCGATTGTTGCCGCGCTGTTTACCCGCCGCTGGAGCACGTTTCTCGCGCGCCAAATACCGGTTTCGAGGAGCGGTTGCGGAACATTCAATTCGCCGGAATAAATTTCGACAGGAAGCACGCACAGGGGAATAGCCAGCCCCGAGTTTTTGGTAGCTCGGCTACCATGGTATTAGAACGTCCGTGTTTCTTTGTTGAAGGATTTTTGTTTGTCGGAAAGGAGGCGTGGGCTCCAAGGGGAGGTTGTTTAATGTCGTGAGTTGGGATTGGAATCGGGGGATGTTAAATGTAATCACATATAAAAACAATTTAATTAGTTTTAGTCTGTTTGATATGTAGAATATATCACTTGTTTCTAAATTTTGTATATGCCTGATCATATATAAATTGAACTACTTACTTTTCTTATTTTTATTCATATATCTCTATTCTTTTATGTGTGATTACATTTTTTTATAATTTTATTTTCTATTGGCCAATAACAAGTACAAAAATAATTTCAAAAGTTTCAATTAAAAAGGTATTCAGATTCAGAAGAAATATTATAATCAGGGATGAAAAATTTCAGATTAAGAGTAAAATTTATAATAAATTTTCGTATCTTCGCTCGATAGATATTACATACGATTATAAACGGATTAACAGTAAATTGTAAAAGAACGATCGATCCATTAATAATTAGCTGGGTATAAAAATCTTATACATAAATAATCCGTCTAAAGAGACGAAACGATTCCTCTTTGCATACGAGTTTAAACGCGTTATTCCAGCACACGACACGCTGCAACCGTATCGGCCAATCAATTTTCCGTGCAAACGACACCCCGTGAAAGATTCCTCTTTGGAACGTGGCACGCCTAACACGCGCCGGACACGCCATCGAATTCCACGATGATCCATGAATCGAGGATAACGATAACTCGATGATCGCCCCGTTTTATCCAATATCGTGTACACACTCTTCTCTATCTCCTCACCCTCAATATCTCCCAGTCTCTCTTACCCGACGATCGAATCCGTCCCATTTCGCTCTTTTTCCCTTCCTTTTCCCCCCCTCTCCCCCTCCCTGTCTCTCTCGCTCTATCCTCTCGTAAATAAGGCGGAAGCCCGGGACTATCTGACTTTTATTCGATTTAGAGGCGAGTCGGCGAGCTTAACCAGTAAAGAAGCTCGAGTGGAGCCGAGAAGCGCACACTGCGGAACGTGACGCTGAGCTTTCGACCCTTGCAGTACATTTTTCGACGACCCACCCCCTCCTCCCTCTTCCACTCCCCTCTTCCTCGCAAAAGATGTCGCCTCTCGACCGCCCCGGGATACGCGANCCCGCCGTGTTTTTGCCGGTTATCGAGCTCTTCTCTCCCTAGCACGAGGGACGAGAAACGATTGGTCGGGGGTTGTTGTCGGTTCAATTGGCGTTCCTTCCAGTAACGAGTAAAAGGAGCGTGTTACGATGCTCGCGAGCCTGTATGCAATCTCATATCTGTCCGTCTACGCTCCCCGCCCTCTCTCCTCGAGTTCCTTTTTTATTGGAAAGGTGGGCTGGTGGCGCGGTCTCTCGAAGCGCTGACGAAATTCAAAAGCGGTGATCCTTTGAGTTACTAAGAAGACACTAGCGTTATAATAAATATTTATCCAAAAAGGGGGAATAATGAAAAATAAGAAGTTTTTAACGCGTTCGTTAACTCGTTTCTCTCGACCACGGGGTGAAACATAAGTGGCCTTGTTCGCTTATTTTTCTACTACTTTTTTCTCTCTTCTTTCTTTTTCTTCTTCTTTTAAATACTTTTAAAACGTTACGATGCTTATCCGCTCAAAAGACACGTTGCTTTTACCCGGCCATCGAGTTTCACGAGTCGGATTCAAGAATACTCAAAGGCCGGCCGTATAACGTGACACAAAGGGGTGGTCTCGTCGACCCCGTATCCCCGCTCGTATACGTTACGTATTGTATCAGAGTACGCGTGTCGTCTCGCGGCCGTACGTCATACATTGCACGAGCTCGACACCGCATTCCCTAAGGGGCCAACTGTGTAATTAGTAATTTGTGGTTGCAACCCCTGGCTTCATTCAACGGGCCGCATAACAGTCATTTCGACACGCGAGGGAGGGGTTGATACGCGCCGCGCACCCTTTGTGACCGGATCGCGCTCCGTTAAGTCGAAACTGGCGACTTAATTTCCGAATGTCTGTCAAAGCGGTTCCATCTTCTGCCCTTTTTCTTCTTCTTCTTCTTCTTCTGCTACTCGTTGTAACTTGGAGGCGAGACCGCGAGGAATTTCATTTCGTTTCGTGAGGGTTTCGGTTCCATGCTTTGACCGAAGGATAATGAGAAATATCTTTTCATCTCGTCGTAGAATGTAATCGTGGAGTGAT